CTTCATCTAGAACTAATGATGTAATGTATGGGGATTAACATAAGAACAACAACAAAAAAAAGATCTTCTACCCAGATCTGACCTCTGCCAGCCTCCCTGCCTCATTTGCATCCCCCTCCAACTTGTTCATCATACTCCAGCCACAAAGGCATCCTTCTAGTTGTGTGAACCTGCTAAGCTACTTAGGGGCTTTCACAAAGATTCTCCCTCTTCCTGGTATTCCTTCCCACATCTTTTGCTAACCACCATACACCTCTGAGGTCCCAGACTGGGTTAGTTTCCCTAATATACACTCTCATGTCATTTTACACTTGTTTCATTGTGTTATCTACAAGTGTAATTAAGTATGGGATTATGTATGTGTTCAATGCATGACTCCTTCACCAAGCTGTAAGTGCCAAGAGTACAGAGGCCATGTGTTTCTTGTGCAGTGCTCTAGCCTCTTTGTCTAAAAAGTATCTGGAACAAAGTACTCAATACTATTTTGAGAAAAAGAAAAAGAAGGAGGAAGGAGACAGGAAAGAGAGAAAAGAAGGAAGTTCAGAGCTATAGCTTTAAGCATTACTCAGAGGGCCAAGGATAGATTCATAGATACACAGATACATTTAAAGGATATGTAAGCCAGACATGTCCATTTAGGAACTATCCATGAAATTATTTCATGCAGATTTTGGTGCAATGGAGGTAATGGAAAACCATGTACATGGATAAGATTTCCCCCAGATAGCATGCTACGAAAGTAAAGAGAAAGACTGATCAATAGTATCATGTGCTATACATGAAGAGATATACCTGCTTATATAGTCTATTCAACTATGAGCATTGTGAGAGCATGAAGAATATCTATTTCAACTCTGTACTTTCAAGACCTGCATTAGTGCCTGACATATCATGGGTGCTCAAGAATTACCAAAAATGAACAAAAAGTTAATGAAAAGTAATGAGTATTTCTCATTATGGTTTAGAAAAACAACTTCTCTTTTATATTAAATAATTAATAATAATCTCTTAAATCAGTTGTTTGAGCAACAGGAATATGTAACTGCTAAAAGGTTAGCCCCTTCTATACAATTTAGAAAAACATCAAGGTTCACTCAAAACCGATCTTCAGAGAAGCAGAACATATAAAGCCAAATAAAATGACTTTCCTGAAGCCTAGTCATCACAGACTAAAATATTCACAAATGTACACCAATACTTGTGTTTCTTTTGTTTAATGAACATCTTTAAAGTTCAAATGACTTTAATATATATTCCTAAAATACTTCTTCCTATGCATTTAATTAGTTTGGCATTTAATTAGTTATAACAATTTTAATGAACCTAAACCCACCAATTCCTGAATATACAGCTTAAGAATCAGCTTTTCCCAAATCCCCACAAATTGATTTTACTGTGGTTTTTTGTTGTTGTTGTTGTTAATTTGGCTTGTTTTATTAGAAGTAGATGGTTATCAAGCCAGTATAAGTTAAAAGTTATATGAAGAGAGGAAGAGCAAGATGGTGGAGGAGTAGGAGACCTAAATTTCCTCTGGTCCCAGGAATTCAGCTAGATAGCTATGAAACCATTCTGAACACCTGCAAACTCAATAGGAGATCTAAGAAAAGAATAGCAGCAACTCTATGAGCAGAAAAGCAACCACTTTCTAGAAAGTAGGATGTGCGGAGAAGTGAATCCAAGTCGATATTCGAGAGGATAGACCGTGGGGGGAGGGAGCTAGCTACCGGCAAGTGATAGAGCAGCGGAGCACAAAATCGAAACATTTAGAAGTCCGCTCCGCTGAGGGACATGGCTCCAGTGGCTAAGTGGGGGGTGGAACCCTCGCTGGGACAGTGTGGTCTCAGAACCCTCGGGGTCACAGGAAGACGGGGGTGCCTGAGTGCAGCAGAGCTCCCAGGTACTGGAATGGGGAAGCCGCCTGCAGACACGGAGCCGAGGAGTGGGCTCTCAGCTCGGGGTTGCCATAAACCCTGATCCGCGGCACAATCGGGCCACTGCTCTTCTAGCAGGGATCCAACAAGAGGCAGATCTGGGGAGACTCCCCTCCCTCCCCCGGGAGAAGCAGCGTGGGAGTGCACCACAGGAATCTGCTGGGTTTGGAGAGTCCAAAGGGGGTCGTGTGCCAGAGACAGAAACGCTCGGTCACAGGCCGGGTGAGCACGGGGTGTGGCAAGAGACTGGGGACAGAGGAGTGATT